TCACATATACTAATGTGCCACAAACAGGACTTTAATATCACCAACCATTCCCATGTTATCACGGTGTATCCATATAAATGGCCCACCCTGTATAATGAGGAACGCTGAAAACTAACCGCTGAAACCAGGATTTTTAATTCTGTTTTTCAAGTTTTCAGACCTTGAGAAGTGACTGCAGCCAGGCGGCGTTAAGCAGACTGTGGAGGATCTCTGCTCCGTCGATGTCCTGACTCACAGACTGCCTCACCTCCTCTATGACGTCAGACAGGATCTGACGCAAACCTGCAGCACAAACTCAGACACGTTAGCAGAAGGCTGAATCTGTGGTTAACGTGTGTAAGCACATTATCATTAAACCATAAAACACTCCTACTGACCGTGTTCTCCCAACTCACAGTGCGGATTTAACACCTGAGCCTCCACCGCCTGCCTCATGGTTACAGAAAGCTTGACCTTTGACCCTGACCACCTGCTGCTGCTCGCCAGGACGGGCAGTAACCTGGAGAAAAATCAGTTTATTATAAGATTTGTGCAAAAGTATCCTGAAATATTAGATCAGACGATTCATAGAGCTGGAGCTTTTTAAGGTGGAGCTGATTGAGTTTTAACTCTTTATATTCTGTATATTATATCCCTTACATATATGGAAACCTTAAACCACTTAGTATTGATAATAATAACAATTACTATGATAATAATTATTACAATAATTATACAACATGTGAAGTAAAAGCAGACTTTGTTCCTCAGAGCTACCGAGGACTCAGCAGGGTGAAGGAGAGGGTCTGCAGGTTTAACAGGTGGTCATTTCACAAAAGGCCAGTTTGAGCAGTGCACGGTCTGATCTTAGGGTGAATTTTACCCCAACACCCTGATTTATAGAAGTACTCACACTTATTAATTATTCAGTCAATCAAGTGCATTTGATTAGCAGCATCTGGCTGACAGGATGACTTACTCTGATGTTTTAGGCTTCATTAGCTCTGAAGTTGCTGCAGCTTGTGGCATTTGTCTAGTTTTGCATTGTGTTTTTGTGTCTTACTAGTCTGTACAAAACACCATCTGAGCCTTTGACTCTCACGTTTCTACTCAGATAATGAAACAGTTGCGTTGAAACCTCTATAAGCCTGTTTTTATTTAGTGCAAAAATATCAGGAGTGAATAAAAGAGCTCCATCAGCTCCATCTTATCCAGGGATTTTACAACCAGCAGCTACATCTGGTGTAATCTTTTTCACCGCAGTTAACCCTGGGAGGTCTAAATACTCCTAACCCTCAAGCCTAAGCTATAACAAAGTAGTTCTTTGCAAAAAGATGGCAAAGTTTAGTTTCTTTCCAAAAAAAAAGTGCATTTTTTTTCCTTTTTTCAAAAACATGAAAGCTAAGGTGACAGTCAGACTTCACAGGGTTTAAAAAACAAATCAGGGGTTCAGTAATCCAGAGCATCCATGTCCTCCTGCATTAACTCCAAAGTTTGAGAAGCGCTGCACAAAACAATAGCATGCGCCGATTTAAACGAGCTCAGATTTATTCTCTTGTCACTCGAGTCTCATGAAAACCGTTGACATCTGTCACGTCATGAGCGGCCGGGTCTTTGAAAAGATTTTAAAAAGCAAGAAACGTCACAAGGTCTGCTGGTACAGCTTTAAAAGATGAGCTTCACTTCTTAACATCCACCAGATCACCCACAGCTATTTTAGGGTTAGGGCTAAAAAGTCAAATATTCAGAAAGAAAAGAAAAGAAAAGAAAAGAAAAGAAAAGAAAAGAAAAGAAAAGAAAAGAAAAGAAAAGAAAAGAACAAATAGTTTATTTGAGTGAATCTGAAGTCTTGTTAAATGTTTATTGCTAAAACTGAGCTCTGGCACAGAAAAGAGGTTTGCATTAAAAAAAAAAAAGACAATACAGATGTACTAATAACACTACAACAACTCCAACTGCCTTCAGTTTACTGTGACTTCCCTGTATAGAGTCTACGATATCCCTAGCTCTCCATGTGAAGTACATGAATATTTAGACAGTACCATCCATCAGGAAGGAAACACACCACATCAAACGTGGCTATAGTAAGATTTACGCCTTTCTTACCTAACCCAGATATGCATGAATTGGATGTCCTTTTACCTTCAGACTTGCTTTAACTCTTCCTGGCACAGCATTGATTCTTTTGTTGCCCAAAAAATAAGTCCAAGTTGCTGGAAACTTTTGGACCATGTTGAAATGACAGCATCAAACAGTTACTGCTGATTTGTTGGCTGCACATCCATGATGTCAATCTCCTCCTCTCCTCCAGTTTGAGATGATTTTGAGCTTTGTGACATGTTGTGTTGTCCTACTGGAAGCAGCCATCAGAATATGATAAACTGTGTCAAAAGGTTGATTCTGTTCATCTGGACATAGCGTTTTCAGTGGGAGAAACGTTTCCCCAACCTATATGATCAAGGAACTGACCTCCCAGCCCATTGTTCATTCAATGGGCTGGTTTCAGTCATTATGCAATGAACTGTTTATAAGATTTTTGTTCTTTTGTTAGTTTTGTCACAGTTTTTCTGTCAGAGTTAGAGGTGGACATTAGATGGACATTAAATCAGCCCTGAACCGACATGGGTCACAGGTGATCTGGTGGATGTTAGAAGGTTAAAGATTTTAAATTTGTCACTTTTAAAAGGTCCGCAGATGCCCTACAACTGTACAGCAGCCTAACAACCAAAAACCATAATGTCAAAATTTGACAGAAGCACAAATACATGCAGCACCCTTTTCATTCCCCAAAACGTTCGATGATGCTGGTCTTTAGGTGATTTCATCATCTACATGCATGACATTAAAACCTTTCTACACACATAATCAGGTTCAGACTTGATTTGTTCAAACTTTCAGTTAATTTGCAAAACATCTGTGAAACGTGCAGTTAAAACTTTTAGGACCACATTTATGAGCATGCAGAGGTGCAACCACAGCTCCAGCAGCCAGCGCGAACAGGATCAGTGCTCGAAGGCACACACCTGACAGCAGCTGCCAATACAGAGTTTATAAATCATCTCAATATTGGCACGAATAATAAAACCAAAGAATAATGCTGAGAGGAGTTTTTTGCCTTTGTTTCCCCAATATGTCTGTAAATACTCACATAGCCACTGTGAGGGTGAAGTTAGTGAACGGGTGAGGGTAGACAGACGTGACAGAGCAAATAGCTGCTGGAAAAGTGGATATTTTTAAGGAATAAACCAGTAGGATCTCCTCAAGGAGTAAACACCTATCCGGGATGATCCCTGTGGCCTTCCTCCAATCCAAGCCCTCCTCTCTTCAAACAAATCAACCCTGGCGAAGCTTACCGCTACACCTGCAGCCTCGAGGACTCCTCGCGCCGTCACCCTCCTCCTGCCGGTGTCAGCTCCAGCACAGCAGCAGGTAAATGTTTATATGATGGGAAAATATTCCCAGGAGAGCAGACAGAGCGCTACGCTTTCATCGAGCTGAACGGGAGAGAGAGAGAGAGGGAGGGCTGTAATCCCTCCCGATCCCACTTAATCCCAGGCAAGTGAGCCGCCTGCCTCTGGCCACCGGAAACCTGTTCCTCCCTCACTGGCTGGCTGGTTGCTGCTGAGCTGCCAAATCTTCTTAACTTTTTCAGCTTCTATCAACGCACACGGAGGAGGGCTGAAAGAAAAGGGAGAAGCAGTTACTTCAAGAGAAACGAGAGAGTTTATGAATGTTACATTGCACTTTTTCTACAATAAACCATCGGGAAAGTCAACAAAGGACACAGAGGTAGCAGGTTTTAAGGCTGAAAAAGACCTAAAAGAGTAATTAGAGAATCAGATAATCTTCCTCACCAGCTGGGGGAAGAAAAAAATCTGGCAGGAGTGAATATAATCCCCTGATTGGTAATCCAATTCCTACTGAAAATCAACAAGATCTCCACTCCCTCCACATGAAAACAGGTCTAAGGCATCTCATTGTACCCAAAACACTGAGATTATTGTTTAAGGATCTGGATACGCCGGATGGATTTTCCCCCTTCCAGCAGAAAAAAAAAGAGCAGTGATGCCAGTGGGATTTATTGAGCCACCCTTGACATGCAACAAGCTCTTTTTGACCTGTAAAAAAGGAACATCTGTTATTAAAAGTGAAAATCTTCTCAAAATACCTTCCAACTATGACCTTTCCTACAAAAACAGTTATAGTGAGTAACTGTTTTAAGAAGTACTGAAAAAAGACAGTTTAGACTCCAATTTGCTTAAGTGAAAGTACAAAAGTATATATTTTTATACTTGACAATGAAGTACCTAAAACAAAATACCTCATTAGACACATCCACAAGTATGAACCATAATTATTAATTTTTTAAAGTCTATCACATTGTTATTATTCTCCATCTACTTCCCATGGATCAGATAATCTGCAAGTACAGATTATCATCCGCTGTTATACAGATGATACACCACTATACGTTCCCCTCGTTCAATATTATTGCTTGTCTATATGATGTTAATTACTTCCTTAACCAATCAGTTTCCAAAGTTGAGGTCCTTTCATTAAACTTGAAAGGAGAATCTGTCCTCGATCACAAGGAATTCCACCTGTACCCTGGGTGTGATGACCAAGGTCTCCAACTAAGAAATGTTGCACATTAAAATATTTTCCATCGCAAACAGAACATGCCTTCTTCTCATCGTGTTTGGACTGTTGAAAATTTCTTGAATTCCACCTCCGGCATCCAGCTCATTTAAAACTCAGTAACTTTACCAAAATCAAAGGATCAAATGCACCACACTCATTACACTGGATTAAACACAGTGAGACAGTATTGTGTACAAATATTTTGATTATTTATTTATTTATTTTTTGTAGTAGTCTTGAGGAATAGTTCTTCAGGCTCCTTGAAGAACATTTGGCTTAAAAATAAAAGCTTTTCTGTTCTTTTTAGTCCAGTCCTTGTATCTGAACATTTTCAGAGGAATCTTTTTGTTTGTTTGTTTAAGCCCCTTAACACTACGAATCATTCAGGCATAAAAAAGGCACCTAGCTCGATAAATGAGCCAGTGTCATGTTTACACATAACAGACAACTTAGCAAAGAACCCAACTGTTCTTAAGGAGGAGAAACAGGGATAAAAGGCCAAATTACATAAGAACTGGATTGAAACTCTGGTCTGATGGAGAGATATGTACAGTATGTACAGCATGAACAGGGGAGGTCAGGAGAGAGGAACCACACAAGCACCATTAGATTTTGATCACCCGTGTAATACCATTTAAAAACATCTGATTGGTGACGGTTTCCTTCTTTAGCATGAAAATAATGCCAAACACACAAATATTGATTTTCAAGCTTGTTAAAATTGGATGAATTGTTTTTGCTCTTGTATGTTTACATGTTTTATTAAATCACTGCACCATTTTCTGAGCAACATACAACAAAAACTTAAATCAAAACACAAACAAATGAAGGGTGGGTCAAGACTTTTGCACAGCACTATATAGAAAGAAATCTTTTATTATGAGCATGGACTTGATTCCACCTACAATACAAATTTACTGAGAACCTCCAAAATTTTCCCACAGTTAGCAGAGGACCTAAGCCCACCATCTACTTTCAAATCACTCCTTAAAATGTACTTTTCCTTGTTTTGTGTTTGTAATTCCTTATTTTTCTCTGTGAGGACAACTTGACAGTTACCTGTTTGACAGTGGAGGATGTAAGATTGTGAGTTGCAATTTCAAGTTAAAAAAAATCTCAAACATGTATATGGTTATTTGAGATTGTACATACAAGTGACAGTATTTTACAATCAGTTCTGTAGGATTGTCATTTTTTTCTTGTGTTCAGATTTTTTGTTACAAATTTTTAAATAAAATATAAATATTGCAATTACTGAGAATATCTTTTTTATTATATTATCATTGAGTATATATGCAGGGTTGCTCCTCTATATTTTTCATCTCATTATGTGTGAAGTTGACCACTTTGTACAAAAGGAAAAAAAAAAGATGCAACAGCAGGCATACGGATAAATTCCAGTTTAAGGAAAAGGCTGCAAATGACACGCATTTTGTTTTACTAAATTATATGTGCAATTTAAAACTGATTTTAAAAAAATACAACTAAAATGTATATTCAATGAAATGTTATATATTTGATGTGGAACATATTATTATTCCAATACAGTATCCAAATTTTTGCTGGGTTACTTTTAACATTCACATGTATGTGAAAATAAATACGTTGCCAAGTTTAGCAAAAAGAAAAGAAGTTTACATTTTAGCAGCCTGTGGTGCCTGTAACAGGAGAGCTTTTTTTTATTAATCATGAATTCTTCACAAAATTTTATACCCCATCTCACAAGATGATAAAGTTGCAGAAGCAATCATGAGAGCTAGTATGCAACAGACGTAACTTTTGCCAGTGATGCACAGCGTGTGAATGCTTCACTGTGGCTGACCCATCAACACGTTACAAAGAGCATGAGATTCAGGCTTTTCATTGGGACTTAAATATAGATTTTTAAAATTTTCAAATTTAATAAAAAAAATAATAAATTACCATTTCAGTACTTTAGACTGTACAGTGTGATATAACTTACAAAAAACATAAAATTTTCTATTTATATTTGCACACAGGAAGCCCATATGATTTTATTTTAAATAAGAGAACTGGATTATTGCATTTTAATTAAAAATTTCATTAAAAAAAATATATATACTCAAATTTGGAAAACTTTACTTTGTAGAATAGCATTTTCATTTACAAGTTTTCAATCACTAGCTGCTTTTCCACCACAGCACCCAGGTCCTCTCGTAGGGACTCGAGGCAGAAATGTCTTGCAGAAGAATTCATTCACCTCCCACAAAAGTCACTGTAGCCGAGTCGAGTAGCCTGATTGCAGCAACATCTCCACAATAAGTGGGTGCGAAGGAAGGAAGGAAGGAAGGAAGGTAGGAAGACAGACAATGGAGGCAAAACACCTAAGTGGATTTCCACCAAAATGATTTTATTGCCCTTTGTCATCAATTAAAAGTACAACACGTTTGACATTGTGCAAAAGACACAGGTGGGCCCGTTGACAAAACAGCCGTTGGTGCAGTTGGTTAACCAGCTGCAGGGTTTAAAACATCAGCGCTTCCTTCAGTTTACACTTAGCACAAAAACACTCCACTCAGTCTGGACTAAATAAAGTCAGTGTGTGAACAACCACTACATCAGTAATCTGGTTTCAAAGTCAGCCGCGTCACTGTCAGAAAAAACTGTTTTCATAGGCAGCAGTGAATCATGTCAGCCTTCAAATTTAAGCTGAATAAAATATACAAGAGATGATGCTGAAGAACACCCGAGGGCGCCTTCTCTAGTCAGTGAAATAAGAACAGAGCCTGGCTTAAACATCAAATAAATGTTAAACCCAAAGGCTAAAGTGTGTAGGATGCATTCTAGGGATGAACTCGGTGAACTCGAAAAAAAGACAATACTGCTTCATTTCCACGAGGATCGAGCACATTTGGGCTCATGAACACAGACGGAAGATTATAAAATGATTTTTACTGCACGTGTGAGGACCGCACTTCACCTCAGATACAAGCAGCAACATCATCACATATCAGTTTAGGTTCAACAGTATAAGAAGTTCCCATGAGCAGGTTTAAATTTTACAACCTCTGACAAACAATTTTCTGCTTGATTTTCGAATATCCCGCAGGGCGAGAGCAGCGGCTTTACCTCTGATCTGCTGCTATTTCTATTGTCAAAACTATCAGACCAGGGCATGAACAGCAACAAAAGGAAGAATCCCCTCTTAATCCCTTTTTAAAGTGGCATGTGTGACGCAGATCACAAGTAAGCAACAGTGCCTGATGGTTGGGGGTGGGGGGCAGCATTAGCAGATGGTGCGAAGCTTTGAACTCTATTATATCTATAACAGCAACGTTAAAGCGGCCTGCTTCTCGGCTCAGACATCACTCGCAAAAGGCAAAATACACATTTCTGGCCTTCTTGTGATTAAATCAGAATTCACATTGGACCGCTTGCATTGATTATTTTGCAGATCAGTGAGGTTTAGACCTTTAGCTGGTGGTTAGTTTCCTTCCTTGGCTGTATGGCCTGCCTCCACATGATTAATAGAAACACTGTCAGGATATTTGCAGCTTCCTGCAGCATACAAATCAAACGTCTCTGCATACTGCTAAAGGACGATTTCTACAAACAATCCAGCAAAATGAGTTTCTGCAAACATTTCAAACAAGAAATGAACAAAAGAGATGCTAAATATGTCTTCACATTAGGGAAAGGTTACAGACACTGCTGATTTGCATAAAGCTAAAAAGTGTAACCACAGAGCGAGGAAGTGGATGGCTAGTTGCTCAAAATGAAGCAGTGATGAACGAGAAAGCTTCTCAGGTGGTAAGAAAGAGTGGAAACAAACCGTCAGGTAGCGTTAATACAACATAAGTGAATTGTACAACGTCACTGTCATTGTACTGTAAAAAAACAAAACAAAACTTATCTCTAAAAAGCAGAAGGAATTTTCAGCTTTTTTGGGAATAACATTTAAAAAAAAAAAAAAACACATCTTGTCCTCAACTCCTAAGATTAAAGATTCGAATCCTTATTTTTTTATTAGTGAGACTAATAAATAAGACTGTAATAAAGAGCAACACAGGTTCTCCAAAAGCGCCAAATTTCCACTTCCTACCACCATCTTGCAGAGCTGTAAGACTGTCCTGCGAACACTGGGCTCAGAAATACAAACCAAAGACACCTCCTGCAAAACGCTGTCAATGAAAAGACATTTCTGTGGACTGAATAATGAATAGCTCATCTTAAAAAAAACAAAAGAAAACATTAAATACATATTTTTCCTCTGGCCTGCAGTGCTGGTTGTTTTTTTTTTATTGTTTCCTCTAAAGGTATAAGTCTTCTCTTTAATCTTATGAACATAAAACAAACCAGGTGGCACTGCACACCTTGTGGTGCTCAAGGCATTAAGAAGTCTTGAAAACTCATCAATTTCTAGACTACAGGAACTTTGTTTGTTCTTCCAACCACCACTGCTCCCAGTACACCTGGAAATGGATCCCTGTGCAGAAAGAAGTATCATATGACAGGACAAACATGGACGGCAGCCGCTTGGCTGAGCTCTGATGTTAGCTTGTTTGGTCTGTAGGTGGTCAAAGAAAATAGTTCCACCATTTTATTAAAATACCCAGATCATGATTTCTAAAATTAGACCTCATTTCTGAAGCCTCGTTAATGGTAACAGAACCTGCTGTGTAGACGATTAAAGTGACGGCTCTGTAACCAGTAACATGCTGGTGTTAGCAGAAGCAGGAAGTAAATTAAGCTTTTTCCAGAAAGTCTTTTCAGGATCTGTTTTGATGATATGTCAGAAAATTAGTTCAGGTATTTGCAGATCACAGATAGGTAAAGACCCACATGATCGCAAATGTGCTTCTGTAATTGAGCCAAAGACTCCAAAGTGGTGGTGAAGTCGCTTTTGATTTTACCTTAGATACCACTTTTAAATGGCATGAAAAGCAACTAAATCCTCATCAAGTCAGCAGCTGCTGTGAGTGACAGTGATGTGAGGCGAGAGGAGGTGAAACAAAAAGTTTTTCAGTCTTACTTACAAGATATTTAAACGCATTTGCTTTGCTGCTTTGAGCACCACAAGTTGAGCATCTCTACAGCTGATATCCCCCAAAAAACAGACACCTAATAATGTATGCACTAAAGGCCAGAGGAAGGATACGCATTTTAAATGTAACAGTCTGAGGTTATGTTCAGAGGACGTGTGAGTATGCTTTCAAGTCAACAATCCGGCTTCAAATGAAGAAATAAAAATTTTTTTTTATAAGCAACTGTTTAGATTCAGGTCCATTCACTGATGCTGTAACACGTTCTTTCTTTAAATACAGTATGAAAATGGGCAGTCAGCTTGCCCAGATAAATCCTCTCCAAAGAAATTTTGAACAAGTGTCAGTTTTACTTGCAAAAAAAACAAAACAAAACAAAACAAAACAAAACAAAAAAAACTTCCTTCAGGACCGGCTCCCCCCCTGCAGTGCCTAACAGCCACTAACCGTAGGCATCCATCTCAGATTATAAAGTTTATGAATCCACAGTTTATAGAGTTACTTCCTCTTCATGTAGCTTTCACTGAAAATAATTCATGTTTCCAGATTTACTGTTTTTTTTTTTTAAGATTAAAAATTTTAAGGAGAAAAAATGAGGTCCGGTATCCCACAGACAAACTTTGCACTCCCTCCCTGCTAAAGGTGATTTAATAACAGTCATCTTTATTCCCCAACTCCACCCACATGGATAGTGCGACTGTGCTCGCGTCTGTCATCACGGCCACATTTCTACCTTCATCACCTGTGGATGATGAGTGTTTCAGGGAGGGAGGGTCTGTGACGGGATGTGTCCAAGCAGCATTCGATGACCTGTTCTTATGACCCCTCCTCCTCCCTGTCAGTCATCCTCATGCCCGGCTACTGGAGCTGAGAGGAGGGGAGTGGAAAATCAGCAGCATGAAGGTCACCGAGGACTTAGCAGCAGTCTCGTCTTAAGTGACCTTCTCATGCTGGATCTGGTAGTAGCAGGCCTGCAGGGGGAGAGATACCTGAGTGACCTAAAAGTTTTGAAACGCTTGCAGACAAAGCAGCGTGAGCTGCATGTGCGTTACCTTGAGGGTGGTGAACATAATGCCGTGTTCTCCGTGCTGGACGCAGGGGTCCATCAGGTCTTCGATCAGACTGACCTCAGAACCGAGGTTCCTGATACTGAAGAGAGAAAGAAAAAAAAAAAAGCCAACCTTTGAGTCAGATCTGCTCCTTGCTCGTCATGTCCAGTTTCTCGTATTGTACCAAGGCTGTGACGCTAAAAGAGTCCACCATGAGGTGCCATATGTGGACCTAGCAAATGGTAGCCACTAGCTCTTCTGCTCTGCCTCATTTTCACTCATTTCAGCCACTGAGCTGAAAATCTTGACCATGTTTGATGATGGATTATCTGACAAATATAAAATGACTCACTCTGTTCTAAAAGACAATCCAAGACATTTGTTTCTCATGTGTATGTGTGTACTGCATGGGGATATGCTCCACACTCGCATACCACAAAGTCATTAGGTACACCTTCCTAGTTAAAAGTTTGTCCCTCTTCTTGGTTCAGAGCTTCTTTCACTCTTCATGGCATAGAATCAACAAGGTGCTGGAAACATTGCTTAGAGATTTTGGTCCTGACACATTGATATGAGGCAGTGAGGCAAAATTCTGACTGTAATGTTGGTGAAACCAAGACTCATCAGACCAGATGATGTTTTTCCAGTCTTCTATTGTCCAATTTTGGTGAGACTGAGCGATTTGTAGCCAAAGTTTCCTGTTAGTAGCTGAGAGGAGTGGCACCTGGTGTGGTTGTAACAAGTTGTTAATTGAGTTACTGTTGCTTTACTATCAGTTTGAAGGAGTCTGGCATCAGCAAGACATTTTCACTGCTGCTCAATGGATTATTTTCTTTTTCAGACCTCTAGAGACCACAATATGTGTTGGGGAAAATCTAGATCAGCAGTTTCTGAAATGCTCAGAATAACCACCATGCCACATAAAATCACTGAAGTGATCCTTCTTCCTTATTCTGATGTTCAGTTTGAACTCGAGCACGTCTCCATACTTAAAAGCATGCGACTGGCTGATTAGATATTTGCATTAATGAGCAGTTGATCAGGTGTGCCTAATGAAGTGGCCAATAAGTGTACATTTTCTCATGTTTATAGTGCAAACTCCGTTCTGTGAAGCATGTCACTGATCTGCTACAACTGTCAAGTCATTTGAGAGCAGCTGGGATGGGTGTAGGTCTTTGAATAAGTTGAACAGTAGTATTATTGACTAAAATTGCCTTCCCCACCATCACGTAGAACAACCTCCACATTTAAGAAGCTGAAACCTAAAACTTTTGGTTATGCTTACAAAAATAGCAAAAGCCCTTGCAGTTTTTTTAAGCCATTCTCCACTGCTTGTGTTTCTGCCCATACCTTATTATCGCCATTTATTTCTGTAAATATGTGCATTACTGTGCTTTTTCTGTGGTTCAATGCTCACCGCGCTCGTAGTACTACATAGAGGAAGACAGGGAAGAGGTCGTCCATGGACCACAGGAAGTCCTGCTTCAGAAGCGCCTGGACCTCCTGTGTGATCTCCTCGAAAGTGAGCTGGATCACCTGCAGCTTGTCTGATGGCGTGAAGGTTGTGCTGCAAAAGAAAAGAGGACTTCTAGATGAAGGATGAAGGAACCAACCACTGCCCCTCCCCTCTGCTGTATTTTCTTTAAAAGTATTAGAAGCCGTTGAATGGAGCCGTACCTGATCTGCTGTAGTGTTTCCACTGCAGAAGCAAAGCAGGCGTCTTTGGTGCTGGAGATGACCTGGACAAGTCGCACAGCAGAACAAACACGCTTTACATCTTTATAACAATAATGGATGCAAACAACATCCCCTCACCCCCTTTGTCTTTAAAAAAGTACTACAGAAATAAAATTCTTAAGAACAGTAAGGAGACTTAAAAGACTGAACTGAGAGATCACTATCAGTTTAAACCCATCATAAAAATGAACTAAACAGGATCTTTTACCTTTGAGATGAATTGTCTTTAACAGTGTCATGTGTAAATTAGCAAATATTTAACTTAAGATTAAGATTAAGTAAAAAGAAAAAAATCCAAAACAAAACAAGTTAAAGGAAATTAACAAACACAATCAATGTCAGCACAGCCCCAAAACATCTGAGCTAGTTTTGGAAAATATGAACAAAATGATACCAGTTGCTTCTCGCCAGGCGCAGGCAAAGATGCTGGGATGGAAACGGGCCAAAACTTTCTGACAGGAGGAAAACAGAAGAAGAAGAAGTAGTAGTATTTATGGATCTGCATAAAATAAAAACAAACTCTTCTACAGCCGCATGTTCAGCTCTGACGTACTGCTGGACGCCCAGGAAGGCGAGCAGGGCGAGGTCGGGCTGCTTGTTGAGGCGCAGGACGCACTCCCAGTACACGTCGTCCTCTCTCTCCTTGTCCAGGGCGTAGAGGGTGAAGAGCGGCGGGTAGAGACGGGGCAGAAGGACAGGAAGCAGCAGAGCCGAGCTGCTCACCACGCGGCTGAAACACAAACACACGGAGGAAGTCGTTAATAACCAGAGCCCGCTCACCGGAGATATGGCAGCAGCGGGACATGGATCCATCCTTACGCAGGTTTGGGAGACTCCGGCAGGGCATCAGTAGAATTGGGCTCATTCTTCTCCTGCAGGTCGGTGGTCGGCTCTGGGATTAGACCGCCCTCTTCTGGCAGGTCTGGGAATAAAAATCTGAACCAAAGCAAAGAAAAACATACAATAAAATCGTGTAGAGTCATCTAGAGAAATGTTTTTTTGCCTTTGAAATCAATAAGCTCATCTCACAGTTCCCCCTCCTCTCCGCATTACTGACAGTCTGAGGACATTATGAGGCTATCTTGGCTGTTATGCAGACATGAAGGACATTGGATCCATTCACAGTAACTACCTGACAATCAGGAAGATGCGGTTGAGGTAAGATTTAATCTCGCTGACGGCCTGATGCAGGAGCCGACGGTTGGCGCCAACACCCACGTAGGTCATTCTGTAGACCGCCACCAGGCTCTCCAGCAGCTGACCCAGAGGGTGCAGCGGAGTGTCACACGCCTGGAGGACAAAGGATCATTTTGTCAATGCTGTGCCTGTTCAGGGGTCTCATCGATAACCCTCCCTCTAATGCTCTGCAACACTCTGATCAGGTAAACAAGATGACCAGAATTTGCTGCCCATTCATTTTTATTCAGCGTTAATGATTTTGAGCTTTAGCTGTTAAAATTATATGTGTAGACTTATTCATTTAGGACTTTCAGTTTTATGTTGTTATGGTCGTATTTCTCATTGTTTGAATTATTACAAACCAGTCAGTGAACGCTCTAATCAAGAAAAAAAAAAAAAAATCAATCAGCACAATAATCATTAGTTTCAGCCAGTTAAAGAGCTCCAATATACTCTAAAAACCTGTTTGCAGGTTAGTATATCAGCAGTTGTTATTGCCACCGGTACTTTTACTTCGTCGACTCGGTGAACCCACCTTGATTAGGTAGAGGCGGATGGCGTTGTATCTGTCCATGGTGATCGGCCCTACGTGCTGCGGGATGACTTCCAGACTCTCCAGCGTTTTGTTGTGAGATCGAGACAAAACATCCGGACTGGGATGCACAAACATTGGGAATCTTAGATTAGAGATGTTTTTACTTCAACGAGAAGTTTTATGACCAATAAGAAGGCGTCAGGTGGTACCTGTCCAGGATGTGTCGCCGGCTGATGGTGAGGGCCACAGCAATATTCTCCCAGGCCTTTTCGGGCTCCCCTCGGCCCGGAGCCTCACAGCCCAGCTGACTCCAACACTCCTCGAAAACCGCCGGCCACTTATCCTCGGCACACACACACAGATGACCCAGCTTCCTGCCGCATCAACAAACAATATAAAGTATATACAGACAAATTAAAGTTTGCTTTAACAAACATGAGACCACTCATGAGCTTACATGGCTTGGGTCTTGTCCTTGTCGGTGTCGAACAGGTGTGGTTTAAAGTAGGAGCCCGTCACTTTGAGACCAGAGCCCCATTCGCCATTGAAGGAGCCCTCCAGGTAGTCACCATTGGGCATGGTCAGCACGCCCTGAGGGAGAGCCAGGACATTTAATAACAAGTACCTGCACTCGGTATTCGATTTAGAAGAAAAAATTTAAAGTATTCATATTTAGTTACCTTTCCACTGAGGGTCCAGTCGTCTGAGAATTCGCCCTCGTACGTCGTGTCGTCCTCTGACAGAAGGACACCAGTGCCCTGAAAGAGTCATCATCTCCCATTTTAAACACACATTTTTGTAATATATATA